GTGCGGTTGCCAGTATCTCTGCCTTGCTATAGCTATATCTATACCTTTATATACATTTATATATAGGTAGTTATACATATATACATATGTATATATACTTGTATCTACAACTGTTCAACTATATAAACGATTTCTTTGTCTGAGCTGCCTGCATATGCAAATGTTGTTGTTGTTATTGTTGTTTGCGTTGTTTGCGCACTGCGAATATGTCACACAATTTGCAGCTTTTGTTCTTAATGAGTAAATCGAGTCGCACACGAACTGCATCTCATTGGATATCGCATAGCACAATATCAATTGGCAATCATTAGCTGCACTTATCAAATAGCTACTGATGCAGCAGCACTTAGCCGGGCTGGCTAACTGGTTTCATTCAATTAATTAATTGTTGATTGTTTGTTGGTTTGTTTATTTGTTTGTGCATTGCTCAACTAAATGTTGAGCTGGCTGCGCTCTCTTTCTATTGCAGCTATTGAAGCCCTTTTTGGCATAACAACGAGCCGCACTTAGCAATTAGGTTTAGTCAGTAATTAAACAAGAGCTAATCAACAATTTCCTTTGAGGTGATTAGTTAATTTTCAGTAATTAATTAAGTAGGCGTTGTAAAAAATCTTTTGATTTACTATACTAATTGGAGGTTATTCTGCGAAATGTATTATATTATTTTGATTGAATTGAATTTCTTTAAGAGAAAAAGTTTTTTTCTAGTAGCTGCATTTGTTGCTTTTATTAGAACAACTTTTATTAACCTGAGCAGCGTCATCTATTCGTTAGTCGCTTATTGAGCTTGGATTCTAGTTTCTAATTTAAACTTTACTTTTATAGTTTTTAGTTCTGATTCTATTTTCTAATTTTAGCTTTATTTTTTTTTAGTTTTTAGCTTTTTTGTTTAGCTTGAATATTTTGCTTAAAGGAAATTTAATATTTATTAGGTCTAGCTCTGAACTATAAATTCTATATATCACTATGATGGCAGCGCCATCTATTGACAGTTGCTTGCTTACTTTCCAGTTGGCTAACTGTTTCTATTTTCTAGTTAAATTTTCTAGCTGGTTAGAGCTAACAATTTCATCTCAATCATCTTCCAGCATGCATACAAAATCATTCAATTTGAATTAATATTTTCATAATAAATACTTCATTTCATTTAGTTTAACCTCAATATGGAATCTTTATCTATCATCTGCAGCTATCCCAAGTCTATGCAGCGCCCTCTATTGTCCACATCCTCAGCTGATTAGCTCTCGAAATGCACACATTCAATTAGATACTTCAGAACCGTTTGTACTTACAATATTTAGTGGACAGGTGCGTCCCACAACAATGGCAGAGGGGGAGGCAGCATTTGACGCTGCTGCTGCTGCTGCAGTCGCATTTAGCAGCAACTGCGACTGTTTGTTAGCGCTGACCAAAGCGGGCATAATGTTGGAATTGGCGGCAGCCGAGGGATTGTTGCTGGCATTGTCGGTGCGCTGGGTGTGGCGCAGCTTGGGCAGAATGAGGCGCACAATGAATCCATAGCTGGGCGGGGCGCTCAGTATGCGGGAGCAGGACTTGTGCTGGGCGCCATAGCTGCCCGGCTTCAGTTCAATAATCAGACTAGATTCTTTGCCATCGCTCTCGATGAAATGCTCGTGCTGAACGCTACACAGCGGCTTAAAGGTGGGATGCGACAGCAGATCACCTGTGGAAAGATAGAGAGGGAGAGAGAGAGTGAGTGAGACAGTGAGATAGGAATGAGTGTGTGGTAAAAGTTGCTCACAAATTTACAAAGAGCTGCTAATTTATGGCGCACACATTGAACACATATACATATACATATATATAGACATATATGAGACTCTATATGGAGCACCTTGGCGACATGCCTCAGGTCATGCCTCTCTGCCGGCTCAGATGAGAAGTGTAATCAAACTATAAATAGCTGGCGCTACTTTGTCGCTCATGTGGACAGGCACATATACAGTCATTGTATAACATCTCTAGCATCTATAAGTGAAATTCAATTAATTTGATACAGTTTCTAATTGAATAACATGCATCTAGTCTACCTATAAAGGCAGCAGCAGCAGCAGYAGCTCGTCAAGAGTTGCGGCTCAATTATTTTGCACTCGCACTCGAACTTTGCGCGCCTGAGGTTAAAGATACAAGCTGCACACACACTTACACACACAGCTAAATTAATAAAGCACGAGTGCGAGTTGTTATTGCTGTTTGTTAATAATGAAATATGTGTTTACAATGTGACGCCGCCAGTTGCTGCGCCAGTCGATTCGCTGCTCTTGCTAGAGGAAAAAAAACTACTCTTTGCATTATATTCTGGGTCACTGACTCACACACACACACACACACACATACTTGCACACACTTCATATATATTGCTACATTTTTATTACAACTTCAACTGACCGCCCCTCACCCCCTCGCCCACTGCCTTGGCCATTTCTTATGCAATTGCCGACGCATTTGGTCTATTAACATTTCATGCGCAAAATCAATTTGCATTTGCTTTTTGCAGCCACTGTAGCACACACGCACACTCTCGCACATAGTTTATTGTGAACTTGACATTAATAGCCAAGTGGCTCGACACGTGCTGCACTTTAATAAATTATTCGAATGCTCAGCTTCAGCTTCAGCTTCAACAACAAACAACAAACAACAAAAACTGCACTCGAATTGCATTTATGATTCACAAATTGTTTTTTCAGCTCATAAGCTTATTAATAATTGCCATCATTTGTTATTCATTTTTTTCCTATTCATCGTGTGTTTATTTAACTTGTAACTCTATAGATTACAAAATAGACGCTTAGGGCGTGGGCGACTCCATTTCATTTCGTGCTCAATCGCTAATCAAGAATAACATTTAAAACCAATTTGAATTTTATATCTGAGCAAATACCACGAATTGCCTTGGGTATTGCAGTTATTGAACAGAAACTTCAAGCCAGATTAGTTATTCGAAAGTTTTAAGCGCAAATTTCTATGAATCGCTAAACTTTTACTTTGGCAAAGATTTTAGAGCTTTTGCTTGGCTTTGGCTTTGGCTAAAGTAAAAGCAGTTCTTAACTTCATTTTAAGCACAGAGAATACCGTATGCTTTGCTGTAAAGATTTCAAGTCCACTAACCATACCAAAATTTATCCTCTAATATTTTACACATACTAAATAGTAATTAATGCAAAAAAAAAAAAAAAAAAAAAAAAATTTAATAAATTTACTCTTCCCAAATCAACAGCATCTTGCCAAAATGTATTTCCTTCAATGAGAAATAGCTCCAATCCATCAACAAGAGAATAAATTACGAGATAAACAAATGCATTTGCTTTACATTTTGCTAGTAAACTAGTTCCTCTGACACTTTACTGACGGCACGGACTGATAAATTGAGCCATCACTTATAATTTTGGCCCATTAGCACCGCAAAGCAATAAGGTTTACTGCAATTTTTTGTTACCTTTTTGTTTTAATATTTTATGTTTTATGTTTTTGTTTTTGTTGTATATGTGGCTGTTGACTGAGAGAGCATTGGCTATAAAAGCCGGGGCTTATGCCACTGAACTCTAGCTTTAGTTACAGCTTTAGCTAATTGGGTTAAAAGCACACTCACACAGGCACACACAGACACACATGTGTGTGTAGAAACGTATAACAAGTTAAATGAGTGTTGTGCTTGGCTGCAGCTGCTGCAGCAGCAGACGAGAAACGCATTTGGCCTGATCCGGACTGTTGGTTCAATGGGGCTTTATTGGAGGTTGGGAAGTGGCCAGTCAACCAGCGCAAAGAAAGGGCTAAAATTTCACTTGATGTTGCCCCTTTTTTGGGGGAGGGGAGCTGGGTTGCCGACTCATAAATGTGCCGTTAATAATTTGTCTCAATTTCTAGAGCAGAACATGAATTGAGTTGACCCGAAATTTCTCCCTTCTGAATGGAAAGCTGAAAATTGCCCAAAAAGAATCACATGGAAAATACTGATAATAAAAAAAAAAAACTATTTTAAATTGTTTTTAATAATTGTTTGGAAATTTTAGTTTTGTTAAGCTTTGTTTCAGTTGTGTTGAATGCTTAAAGTTTGATTACAGAATCGCGTTTACAATGGCTAAAAACATTTGAAAATTGCGTGAGTGTGCGGCGAGTATAATTGAGAGGTTGTGCCAGTGTGTGTGAATGTATGTGTATGTGTGTATATGGTTGAGTATCTCTGTATGTGTTCAAGTGTGCGTGAGCTGTGTGTGGCGGTCACTTGAATAGGGCTGAACTTAACTGAAGGGCAGTCAATGTTGATCTACAGGTGCCTACTAAAATGGGTGCACATACTCGCACGCACACACACATGTAGACTCGCACACCCACAGAGGCTGCGGCCTTGCAGTTGTTGTTGTTTGTTTCGGGGCTTTGTTTGGGGTCTTGTTTGGGCCAGCAGTTCGCTCATGTGTTAAGCGCAGCACTTGGCTTGTAAATTGTCAAGCATCGGTTTCGAGTGCCACGCCTGCTGCTGGCTCTGGCGCTGGCTCTGGCTGTGGCTCTGTGGCTCTTGGCCTGGCCATAACATAAAAAATTCTGTGGCATGTTGCATATTGCATGCGGAGAGCATCATAATTACGCACAGTTGCATACAGTTGCACACAAAAAGCTACGCACAGCCGTTGAGTGTGCTGCCAAAGCACTCGAAATAAATGAAAAAAATAAAGTTCTTGTTGCTGTTGTTGTTGTTGTTTAAAACAAATTACACAGYGCACTAGAGTGTGGCAGAGGAGCAGAGCGCAAAGAGAGTCAGCATAAGAGTGAGAGTGAGTGAAGGCAGAAGGAAGAAGCAGAAGAAGAGACTAGTAAACACTTGACGCATAAAAAGCTACAAAATATACGAGAAGCAAAAAAAAACGTTTGAGTGTAGTTTATTTTTTTTTTTAAGTTTTTTTTTTTAAGATTTTTTTTATACCAACTGTAAATTGGGTCAACTATCAAAGTCAGAGCAGCAAGGGTTAAGTGCTAGCCCACCACACACACACATAACCACATCTGTTGAGGAAAGAATGAGTGGACAATGCTACAATTCCTGTTGGCCAATCTCGCTTATGGGTCAAGCGTGTGTTGCTGTTGTTGCTGTTGCTGCTGCTGCTGCTGCTGTCCGTTTGTCTGTTTTGTTTGTGCAGCGGCAGCAAACTAAATAAAATAAATTGTAGTATAAACAAGACAACAACAAGGCAACAACAACCAAATACTAAGAACTTGACATGCATTCAGCTTTAACTGTTTCTTGCTGCTGCTGCTGCTGCTGCTGCTGCTGTGGCTTGGCATTGCGTGCAGCAGCAACAATTTTAATACAGGCAGCCTAACGGCAACTGTTGCTGTTGCCGCACAGTTTGCCAACAGCAGCGTGACCGAGCATTGCCCGTTCTTGCTCCAGCCGGTTCAGCATGGCTCCACACACACACACACAAACTGAGAGATACGATCGCAACCGCCTGCTGCCTTGTAACGGTCGCATATATAAATCAAGGCGGCCATTTTAGCAATTAGCAAAAAATTACCAACAACGTAAGTGCTTGTACTGGTATATACATATATATGTATATGTATGTGTGTGAGTTTTGCTGCTGCTGCTGGCCAAAATAGTTTGCGCCAATTTAGATAAAGCTTCGAGCTAGTGGGCGTTGGGCGTCTGTTAGCAACAGCGGCAGCAACAGCAATGGCAACACAAAATCACGAAAAACAAGAACAACATCTTCAAGTGTCGCCATTTTGAGTGTGAGAGCGTGTGAGAGAGTGTGCGTGTGTGTGTGTAAGAGCGTGGACAGTCAGCTCAGATAACGGTCAATTTGCATTTTAATTGAGCGCTTGTTTGACGGGCACACATCTAAAGCCTATCGCAGTTTTTGCTCTTCCACTCTCTCTCGCTCTCTCTCTCTCTCTCGCTCTAGCACATCTTCACATCTCTTCTTCTTCATTTTTTTGGCTGTGCAGCTTTTATTTGCATTTTAACTGCCAGCGGGCTAAACGGGTGGGCGTGTTGCACCTAATTGAACTCTTATGACATCAACAGATCAACAGCTTAGAGCAAAAGCCTGCAAGAGTGTGTGTGTGCGAGTGTGTGTGAGAGGCAGCTTAACTTCTTGTTGCCAAACGACTAAAAATAAAAAGAATTCAAAAACAAAAACAGTTCTAGCTATTTGGTGTGATTGTTGTTGATTTGGTTCTTTTTTGTTTTTTGTTTTTAAGCAAATTGATTCAGTAACCGGTTAGACTCTGAATACATGTGTGTGCATACATATATGTATAACCATATGCATATGGTTATCGAGCAGATCTGGCAACTTCTTGTTTTTGCAAGGGTTGTATTTATTTTATGTTTTGCATAGTGTACATAGTGTGGAGCGTAAGGCGAACATGGTACAATCTCTGGCACATCACTCTTCCAGCTTGTTCTTCATTTCGCCTGTTCACTTAACTCATTCYTCTTCTTCTTCATCTCTTCGCCAGCTGCAATTGGCATATTTCCGAAATGGAACGTCAAATTAATGCTGAAAAAGTTCAACGGAACACAGGGTTAAAAGCTGCGCTTGTTCGCAGTTACGGCAACATCAGCAACAACAACTGTTGCAGTTGCCCGCGGCTGCACGTTGGAAGGGAAGAAGTGAGGTGGAAAGGGAAGAGGCGAGAGGTTAACGGTAACTGGCAACAGCTGAACTTCATGGCATCGCTGCCTTTGTTCTTCTTCTTAACTGTATTTCAATGACAATGAGGTCGGTCGCTCACTCATTCCCATTCTCCACTCTCAACTCTCCCAATCTGCCATTCTCTCCCGCCCCTCTGTTTCACTCTTTTGCTGATTGTAATTAAAATATTACTCCATTCATTTATTTTCATATGTCTTTCAGGTAAGTTTTTTTTTCGATTTAATTTTATTTTCTTTGAATCTGCGGCTTCCGCGTGCAGTTAAATAATTATTTTTAATGTTATAACGCCTAGGCTGGGGGGGTGAATCACGTCGAAAAAGTGGACTGAAACAAGCCACAAGCGAAAACAAAAGTCTGGCTATGTTCATAGTTCTGTAAGGCCTTTAAAATAAGTGAAACAACAATAAGAACGACAATAACGCGCTTAACCAAAAAAATTGAAAAATACATAAATAAATACAAAAACAAGATGATAAAAAATATAAATAAATAAGTAATAAAACCCATGTGAATAAGAGAGAGAAAGACAAAGACCGGTTTACAGTTCACGTTCACGAATTGTCGCCGCAAAAAAATAAACAGAAAAAAGATCACACACAGAAAACATATACAAATGACAGTGGTTCACAGTAAATTTTTTGTTTAGACATAGAAACTCTAGATGAGTCGCTTAGAAATACAAACATAAATCTACAAATAAGTATTAAGTAATTAATGCCTTAATGGGGCTTTCTTGCGAATTATGAATGACAAACCGTTGTTTTCTGAGAGTTTCTTTTCGCATTGAAATGAAATGAAAGTCTAACTAGTCTAGGGTCAGCACGCCATAAAGGAACTGTGAAATGTGGCTATAGCTAGAAAAAAAAAAAATAATAGTAATAACAAACATACCAAAGGAAACGGCTGCGCTCTGCACATAGGCAGCACTGGCCGCCAGCAGCGTGAGCAGCGCCCAAGCGCTATAAATTTGCATTATAGCATTGCAGCCGGTTGCTCCAGCTGCGCCGGCGCCGACGCAGCGTCGACTTTGACGCTGGCGTGCGCAGCTGACGCAAATGTTCGCCATGGACCCAGACCGAGACGCAGTCGCTGCAGCCGCCATTTTTATCTGCGACATGTCTAAAATTCAGCTACACTTTTTGTTTGTATTTGTTGTTATTGTATTTATTGCTCTTTTATATTTGTTTTTGCTTTAAAACGGCTTTTTAGTGCCGTGCCAATTGTGGTTGGATGGCTTCACTTTTCCTTGGTTTTCGCTCTTTTCGTTTCTTCGGCGCATTACAGAAACACACTCACAATTTGACTCTTCACTTAGCAAAGACCAATTGCATAATATATCATAATACGTTCGAAATGACATACAATTCTACACATACATATAAATTAGCGCGAGACGCGAGTGTCACCTAAAAAATTAGCGACAATTACTTTTTGTAAATTTATGCTCTGAGTTAAATGCACTCGCGCGCCCTTTTTACAGTTGGTTAGAGAAAGACGAAGACGAAAACGTATACGAAGACGGAGACGGAGACTGGGCCATGCACTGCGCCACCCTCGACTCTCGACTGCGCTGTGTGTGAAGCGCGCTGACTTTACTAGACTTGTTGCGACGAATGATCGAACCGAACTGAGCGCAGCTTTGAGCGATGCCAGCCGACGATGCTTTACAATTGAGTCGCCATTCAACAATGTTGGCACTTTAGCTTGGCCGCCGCTAAAAACTAGCTTGCTCGCGAGAGTACAAGTAGCCAATCTCTGTTATAAGGCTGAAATTTTAGCTACTTAAATTCCTTTTTGGCAATAAATGTCTTAGAGTTAGTCTTTTACTTATACATATGTATATCTATATTACTTTGAATTACTATATTTATACATATTTAGCTTTAAATAGTTTCAAGGCTGGCAGCACTGTTCATGGCTTAGCTATCACATTGTTGTTTAAGCTTGCTCTTAACTCAGATATTGACTCTCTTAAATTTATTGCAACTGCTCGTAAACAACTCACATGTTACACGAAAACAAAAACAATGCCAAGAGACGCCCGAATGTAATGTTACAAATCAACTAACAAAGCAGACACGCTTAAAGAAGCAAACAAACAAAAWGTGGAGAAATCGAAATCTTTTGCACACAAAAATAAAGTCCAAGCTAAAGCAGCTCCWCTTCTTCTTCTATATCTACCTGATTCACCCACACTAACGGGGGCTGCTGCGGCTGTTGCTGCGGCCGCCACTGCTGCTGCTGGTGCTGCTTTTGGCAATCACTGCAACAGTTCTGACTCATGGAGCTTACGGCGTCAAACGGATTTTTGCATTTTTTTTGTGTGTGCTTTGTTCCTTATTTTTGTTTTCGTTTTTTCATCATTTTTTTCTTTGCTGGTTTGGGGCTTTGGTCTTGGGCTCTGTAACCCAATTTTAAAACGAGTTGCAGTAAAAGCTCAGCGAAAAAAAAAACGCATGCATGGGAAGCAGAATACGAAAATTACAGCGAAAGGCGTTGTAAGAAATCGAAAACAATTCAAACAACATATGTCAGTGTATGCGTGTGCGAGTGTGCATATGTGTGTGTGGGCGTGCGTGTATGTACTCGCCGTGAGGAATGAACAGCAAGGCAAATGCAATTGAGTCAGATTTTTCTTGAAGAGATCTTTAATCGTTATTAAATTACATGCATTCAATTCTAAGCTTTATTTTCGACTAATTAATCAATGAAGCGTTGACTCAATCGATTCCTATACAAATTTATTGCTATTTTTAGTGCTCGCAAAACGCGTTGCCATAAAAATCAAAGGAAATGCCCATTGAATGCGTAAGCTTTGCCTAAAATAGACTTTAAAACAAAATCAATAGAAATCGACAAAAATTAGCTTAAGTAAAAGTGATAATTTGTATGAAGCTTTGAGTTACTAATTAAGCTTTAAAAATAACCAAAAACCAAAGAAGTGCTATTTGAAGTTGAAATTTGTTGAAAAACTAGTTTTCACTAGAGATTATCGGAAATTCGTTCGATGGAACTTGAGAGAAGATATAAAAAACAAATATGTGTATCTAGATATATACCAAAGGTATTTATGCCATTCATTGTGATATTCATGTAATTATAATATTTTTTATCACTATTATATTATGAAAATAACATTCAAAAATTTAGAGATAGATTTAAATTTATATTCAATTCTCTTTTATTTTTGGTCAAAAGATTTAGAGATATAAAGAAGTAAATTTAGCTAGGCATTTTAAGAATTTTTATTTCATTGGAATCATTTGAAGTCCTTGACTTTGGTATACAATTCTTCGTTAGGTCTTTGTTCCAAGTGTGAATTGAATTCTTTCGATTATTCAATAAAGACATAAAAAACATAATATTTATGGATTTTTTTTTAGTCTTCAAAGTCTTTTTAGCTCATAGACATAGCAAATGTTATTTATGAATTTATTTAAGACTTGCAATATTTTCGTTAAAAAACAGCGCAAATTAAAAACAAAAAGTATATATAATTGAAATGTTAAAATAAATGAACTCAAGGCTTCAGTCAAAAAACTGGGTTTCAGCTTGACGAAAACCAGGTTCTACAGCTAAAAATGTAAGCTTTAAGCCTTGGATTGTAAAACAAAGCCGAGATTGATTTATGGTATTCAGAATGTATATATATATGTATGTATATGTATACACATTGATATAAATTAAGGTAAATAAACATGTTTTTAAATAATAAATGTACTAATAATAATATACTATATACTAACAAATATGCATATAAATACATTTAAAGTCTTTCAGGAATCTCCATTTTTACTCTATTTTTCGTTTACTATTTAGTTATAATAATTTTAATAATTTATCAATATTCTTTATAATATTTTTCTGATTTTAATTTTTTAACTCGCATATTTTCTGGAAATAATATATTTTTTTCTGTGAGTTGTCAGACTCAAGATGATTGAAAGATATATGAAACGCTGATTGCATAAGGGAGAAGACCTCAACAGCTCAAATTACGCTGTTTGCACTGCGCACACACACAGTATAAATATAAGTATGTATATCTGTATGTACAGATGTATGTATGTACATAAGTATATGAGCACTTATATATGCGTACATGTATGTGTGTGTGGCAGAGTGTGTGTGCATTTATGTTGTTGTCAACTCGATCCGGCAGCGACAACAACAAGCAATAGCCGGTTATGTTCGCTTTTGCTCGATGCTATAAACAAACAACGACAACAACAAAACAGGCCTCATTTATGCACTGCATTTTTTTTGCAGTTGTTTGTTAGCCACGTTTTTGGCTATTGCATTTAATTGGTGTTGTTGTTGTTGTCTGGCCAAACAACTGTTGTTGCCGTGCAGCTAAAAATAAACGGCATAATTATAGACGTTGCCAGCGACTTGTTGCACTCACTTACGCAGTCCAACTTACACACACGCACACAGAAGCACACGCTCGCACACTCTCCCGCTTCTCCAGCTTCGAAGTTCGAACCGGCCAAGCAACTGCACAAAAAGAGCTCGAAATATTCAAAGAGCTTAAGCGTTGAGAGCGCGTCTTCAAAGAGCGCGCGCTCATGCTGCTCATGGCATGGCTTAATGCGTGCTCTTCGCTGGCCTTTGGTCACGTCGTCCATAGCCAAAAGCAATCGGGGCAGCGCTGATAGGTCACGTATGCGCATTCGATTAGTGAGCGTTGCCATCTGGTCCTGTTATCACTGTGTGTGTGTGCGGTTAATCTGTGCTGCTGGCCAACCTTGGCCTAAATGTGTCTTGACCAGCATTTTGTATGACTCTTAGATTGAAGCTTAAGAAGTTGCTCGAATGCTGTGGCAAAGCTTAACACAAACCAAAAGCTTGAGCTTAGCTAAGACAATAACCAAATGAGGGATGTGTTAAAATATATTTGAAACTAAATCAAATTTAGCTAAGACAATAACCATTTTCATTAAAGTTCAGCTCAAACGGACCTAAGACAATATCCAAATGTGGAACTCTGTTAACTTTTAATTCACTAACTCAAGCACACATAGGTTAACAGTTTGCTGAATTACATTTTTTGCTTAGATCAACTGTAGCTAAGACATAAACCTATTACAGAGCTGATCTAAATTGTTAAATACTATTTCAAGTGCAGCTCCAGCTTAGCATAAATTGTTCTTTGTCTCTGCAGTCTGAAATTAGCTAAGACAACAAACACAATGCTATGTTAAGTTGCTGTTGCCTTTTAAATTTAATTTACTTTTAATATTTAATTTCCACACAATTGACTTTAATTAAATTTGTTTTTATTAATCACGTAAATTAACTTAAATTACGATAATCATCAAGAATATATTTACAACATTGAAATACTACGAAAAATAAAGGAATATACGCACTGCGAACGTTCAAACCCTTTGCATAAAATGTGGTTAAATTTTGCATTTTCTCTGTGAGTGTGTGTGTGTGTGTGTGGGTCACAATATAATGATGTATAGAATCTTTGTATCTAGTACAAGAATAGCTCGAGTATCTAAATGGCATAATGTCTCTCTGTGTGTGCGCATGTGTGGGTGTGTGTGCGTGTGTGTGAGTGTATGAGTGTGCGTGGGTGTGTGTGTGTGTATGTGTGCGTCTATCTGCGACGCAGCTGCATCATGGTCTCAATGGAACTCTGATCTAGCGTGGCAGCATGCTCCAGATCCTCACTGCTGGCATTCTCCTCGGCCACATTGACGAAGGTGCTGGATAGTTCGCCATTCAGTTTATTCACGCCGCCCGTGGCAATGTCGTACATGAAGATCTCCTGCTCCGCGCTCTCGCTGGCTCTGCATAAGAGGAGAGAGATAGAGAGAGAGAGAGGGAGAGAGAGAGGGAGTCGAGTTATACTCAATTATTCATAGTTTCATCTTCATCTACTCACTTGGCCACCAGCAGCACCACCGACTGCAACTCAATGTCTGTGCGCGCCTCCTTCTCCAGCCAGCGCTTGAAGTTGTCCTTGGTGGGCTTCTTGAGCAGCGTCTTGACCAGCTCGCCGCCCAGAAACTTGATCTCCTTGCTGTCCACAGTGCCGGCGCTGCCGCTGCCGCTGCCGCTGCTGCTGCTGCTGCTGCTGCTGCTTCTGGCCTCGCTAGTCTGTGGTTGCGCCTCCACTGGCGCCAGCACCACCACGCTCACGATCTTCTTGCCCAGCAGCTCCTCGCTGTCGGGTATGGGAAACTGTGCCCCGTTGATCTTCAGCGGCAGATAGCGATTGTACTGCTGCCGCTCGGCCAGCTCCACGGGCGTCACCACTGTGGCATCCTGCCGCACGTACTTGTCGCTCACGCTCTGCCCCTGGGCCGCATCGTAGCGCACCACCTTCACGTCCAGATTCTGTTTCTGGGGCAGCGAATTCGTCTGCTTCACTCGATCGATTTGCTTCTCGCTCAGCGCCACTTTGTCGCCGTTGGGCTTGACCACGGTGAGGACTTTATTGGTCTCGGCTATCTGAGCACCGCCTCCTGCCCCGTAGAAGTGCTGCAGATGCTCCGCCGGCAGATTCTCCAGGGCAATGTCCCCCTGCTTGTCGTAGTCCAGGATGGAGATGTCGGCGTTGTTCAGAATGCCGGAGGAGAGGAGTTGCTGGCGCAGATCGTCGGGCACCTCGTCGGGCAGCTGCAGCAGCGTCTGCGATGCCTTGCCATTGGGCGTGGCCGAGGGCGATGGCGAGGTGGGTGCTGCAACGGTTGCAGCTGCAGCGGCTCCTGCTGGTGTGACATAGCTCGATTGCTGTTGCTTTGGCTGCTGCTGCTGCACCTGTTGCTGTTGCTGTTGTTTCTCCTGTTGCTGTCGCTGCTGCAGCTCCTTGAACACATCCGAGTGGTAGGTGGATACGCTGAAGGGTGAGTTATCCACAGCTGCGCTGCTCGACTGCCTGGGCTGCTGCGCATAGCTGATGCTGTTGCTGTTGCTGGGCTGCGTCTGCGTCTGCGTCTGCGGATGCACCTGAATCACCTGCTCATTGTGCGAGGGATACTGATTGTAGCTGGCGTAGCTGGATGAGGGCGGCAGGGGCGTGACCACCATTACCTTCTGGCCATGCGTGGACTCGGCATAGATAGGGGTCGCTTCGCTGGCAAAGTTCAATTGCTGCTGTTGCTGCTGCTGCAGTTGCTGCTGTTGCTGTTGCTGCTGTGTGGTGCTGGCTGTAATGTAGTGACCCGTCAGCGGCTGAGCTTGAGGTTGTGGCGCATTGGGTGCCAGATTGGGTGCGGGAATATCATGAATCACTTCATTACGATTGCTGCTGTAAGCGAATGACTGATGGGAAACATGTTGCTGCTGCTGCTGTTGCTGTTGCTGCTGGCTGACAATGGGATTCTGCACCGTCTCTGTGATGTGCTGCTCAAACTTGGGTATGGACTTTAACAGCTCCGTCTCCTTGGAGGGCTTTATGTCAAAATAGTTGAGCGCTGAGTACTTATGTTGCTGCTGCTGCTGCTGCTGTTGCTGCTGTGCATAGTAGTCGGTGGCTGGGGTGGGGGAGCGCACGATGAACTGCGGCTGCTGCACAAATTGCGGCTGTCTAATGAATTGATAAGGTTGCGGCTTGGGTGTTTGATATTGTTGCTGCTGCTGTTGACGTTGCTGTTGCTGCTGCTGCTGCTGCTGTTGTGGCAGCTGCAACGGCTTGACTTGCGGCGCTGGCGCTGGTGTGGGTCGGAATTTGATGGGCTGATATGGCGTTTGGCTGGCACGCGTTGGCAACTCTTGACTTTTTGGCGGTATTGTGGGAAAGAATGGCACCTGAACCTGTTTGTGTGGCGGCTTCTGATATTGCTGCTGCTGCTGCTGCTGTTGTTGCTGCTGCTGTGGCTGCGCTGTTTGATATTGCTGATTGTGATTGACATAGAACTGAGATTGCTGCACCAGCTTGTTGAAGATGGTCTGAGAGGATGTGGCAGGCAATTGCTGCTGTGTTATGCTGGGCCGTTGCTGTTGCTGCTGCTGTTGCTGCTGCTGTTGCTGCTGCTTTTGATAGTAATGTTGCTGCTGGGATGACTGCTGCTGCTGCTGCTGCTTGGTGGGCAGCGCTGGTGGTGCTCTAAAATAGTTGCTGTTGTGCTGCGACGGCAGCTGCTGCTGCTGCTGGCTGCCAAAATGCAAATGTTGCTGCTGCTGCTGCTGTTGATGTTGCTGATAGTTGTTGCTGCCGAAGAGCAGATTGGAAACGGGACCGCGCGCAAAGCTGCTCTCGCGTCCGTAGTCAGCGCGCGTGTTGGTCAGCGGCAGCGCCACCACCTGGCGCTGAATGCTCTCCGCGTCGTGCTCCTCCAGGATGTGGCCCGTCTGATGCTTGTTCTCAGCGCCGAAGGAGACGTGAATGCCGCTGTTGCTGTGGTACTTCTCCGAGTCGGGGTGGATGATGGTGCGCAGCGTGGTCGACTTGAGGGGCGGCAGGGGCGTCACCGGGTACTGAATGATCTCCTCTTCCTCCTCCTCCTCCTCGGCATCGTCGTCGTTGCTCAGCGAGGCGATGGGCGACTCCAGGTGCAGTTTGTTGTTCTGATCCTTCTTGTAGTTCACATAGAAGACGTGCACCTTCTCCTTCTTCTTCTTCTTCTTGGTGATAATGGGCTGCGGCGGCTCCGCGGCCAGCGTCTCATTGGCGTCCTTGATGATGATCTCGATGATGGGCTCCGGCGCCTCCAGATACTGCGGATACGGCGCATAGGCGCTGCTGTAGCTGCCCGGATATTGAGCTGCCAGACGAGAGGAAGAAGCTAATGAAACGGAAGTCATGTCAGGCAGTCCCCCCCGCTGCTTACCCAGCGCCTGCTGTCCATTGTAGTAGCCCGGATAATAGTTATCCACGTAGCCCGCCCGGCGGCTGGCCACCTCCGGATACAGGTAGCCCGCGTTGCCGAAGTCGTAGAGCGTGCGCTTGCCCCGATTCTCGCCGGGCAGCGACTTCAGGGATTTCGACTGGCGCGTCGTGCTGGTGGAGCTGGTGGAACTGGTGGAGCTGTTGGAGCTGGGCTTCTTGGTGGCAACGGTAGCTGGCTCGGGTTTCGTCTTGGCTTCACTTTTGGACTTTGAAGTGGTTGCTGCTGCGGCTGCGACTGCGGCTGCTCCCACAGCAAACAGCGCCAACTGCAAAAGAAGAAGAAGAAGAAAAAATTAGTTTAACGATTCCTAATTTGTTTATTTAAATTTTGAACTTTTTTATTTTGGCAACATATTTAATTAATTTTTTGTTGTGGCCTGCACAAGGTCGAGACCCCCAAAAAGATGCGAGCYGAAATAATTTAAAGATATGCGTACAAAAAAAAAAAATTAAATAAAAACTTTTACCGCAAAAAAACTACAAAATGTTGAACAAATTTTTGTTTTATTTTGCTTTTTTGTGAATGCCCAAAACGAGGCAAATTAAAAAACAAACATCAACAGCAAATATCAAGATTCGCCCTCTATACCTCTATCTCTCTCTCCCTCTCTCTCACTCTTCCTCTCGGCTGTGTCAAAAATTAGCCGAACAAATTGTGAACGAGGAACGTGGCTTGAATCCGTCTTTGGCATTGGGTCAATGTCAAGTGGACTGCTCTTTCGGCCACAAAGGCCAATCCATACAGAGAGAGAGAGAGAGAGAGAGAGAGAGAGAGAGAGAGAGAGAGAGAGAGAGAGAGAGTGAAGGAGGGACAGAGATGAGGCACTGCTGGACTAAGGGCAAATCTCATCAATCTTTGGCAGTTGAAGCTAGGCCTCATCGAATCTATCTGTGTCACAGTCCGGCCTGAGTAATCGGCCTATTTGCCACACGTAGCCGTGAAAGTTGCGCTGAAGCGACGACTTGAATTTCAATTTCAACAGTCGCAATTTGCATTTCGACACTAAACGAGCAGCAATGCAGGTGACTCAACAAGCACAGACAGGTAAACACGCACGAAAACCCACTTAGTAATTAAATGAAATCTGCATAATATTTATATGCACTTTGTGGGAAAAGATATGAGTGTATATGATGAGTATGGGAAGGACATGTAGAAGTAAACAAAATCGGAGAAGTCAATTATGCACCAGAAGCTGGAGACGATATTATGCATATAAGGGGCTGACATTTATTTCATTTGTTAACACTAGTATTATCATAATGATGATCAATTTCTGCATCATTATCATTCTCAACATCATGATATGTATGATAGTAAATCGATTTCATTCACGAACATGTAAAATGTAGACAAATAAATAGCTAGGTAGATGGATAGAAGGATCAAACTCGCAGAAAATATCATTCAATCAGAGACTGCAATGGGGCACTAATTGCTTCAGATGTTGAAAAAATAAGAAATACTTGCATTAATATAAAATATTGCCTGACATCTATAGTTCCTAAAAGATATGTGGGCATCTACCAATTATATTAAACGGATTTTAAATTTAAAAAGCAATCTCAAAAATATATAATAATACATATAATATAAATAATAGAGTATAGATAATTTTGAAATAAAAAGATATATATATATATATATAGAGTGAAGTCTGTGCTCCTAGTGGCCCTCAAAATGGCACAGCAGCAGGCTTTGCTGCCGCGACTACCAACCTATGAGGAAAGCATTTGAAGTTGTGTATATTTGATTAGAAATATGTGAACTTTTACAATGTAAAGTAATATTTATAAATATATATTTTGTTTTTTTTTTTTTAGAATTATTTTTATCTACACTCGAGGTTATTATGCTATAAATTTATTCTCTTAAAGCTAAACTAAACAGTTCAGTTTACAGTGCATGTCAGTTACCATTGACAGGCCATTAAGCTAGCTTACGATGGTCTAGGGGCCAGAGGTCTTACAGCTTCTTTTACAGTTTCATTTCTTCTTCTTCTGACAAAATTTATATATTGTATATACATGTTGGGGGTGGGCAAATTGGAAATGAAAAACAACTAAAAATTTTACAGAGCTAAAGTTTCAAAATGAAATCAGATCTGATTATACAGATATAGACAGTGCGAGAAGAGAGAGGGAAAGAGAGAGAAAAGTAAGTAGAGAGAGATCGACAATATTGAAATGACATGAGGAAAGAAACGAAGAGAGAGTGAGCGAGAGGGAGTGAGTGAGTGAGAGAGCCATTGAAAGAAAGAAAGAGATATAGTAAGTGAGAGAAGGAGAGACCCTTTTCTCTCCTTCTTTCCCTGAGAGTGAGTGACTGACAGACGAACAGAAAGAGAGAGAGGGACAGAGAGAGAAAGAGAGGCACAGGGATATTTATATAAATGACAATTACAAGAGGGAAGCAAAGAAAAAGGAATATTAAATAGAGAGGGAGAGGAAGAGGGAGAGAGATATAGTAAACGAGAGATCATGTTCAGTTCGAAGAGAGCCAGAGCCAGTGCTAAAATCAATAGAAAGAGTTCGACAACACGACCGAGTGGTAAGTACTTGAAAGAAAGCAATGCGTGAGCTGCTCTATAACACCTACAACTCGCACTCGTCCACTCGGCTCACATACATAATAATAACACACAATAGATCATAACACGAGCGAACCAGGCATTGTCTCTCGGCCCGACTGCAGCAACGCCCACGCCCCAGGCCAGGCCAAGCCCGACCGGGTCTATCAGTTAGTTGGGCAGGCTGCCAAATGCAGCTGAAAACTGGAAGTGAAATTATTTTATAGATAGCCGCCGAAGTGCCCCCCCCCCCCTCCCCGCCCATTCCCCACTGCCACGTTGTCGTCTGGCATTTGACATTTGGCATTGCCAGCTAATAAAATTTTGCTTTACTTTCCCAAAAAATAACAGCAGCAACAACAGGAGAAGAAGAAGAAGAAGATAATAATAATTTCTAGCAAAGTTTTTTCTTTGTTTTTATTGACTGCAAATGTCGGAGCATTGTGGGCGCTGACATTTGATTTATTATAATTGAGTAATAATCGCGGACTCAAAGTGAAACTCACAGCGACAAAAGCTCAGCATGTGGACCAAGTGGCGTATGTGCAATGCGAGCTACAAAGATCAAGCTGAACATGTATATGTATGTGTATATGTATATCTCTGTTGAGATAATGATTATGGCATCGTTGTCACAACTTTGAAGCTGTCAAAACAGTTCGCCAGATGTCTAAAACGGAAGCTGTGCGAAGACTTTTGACAGCACTTGTGGCAAATGCTATTGTTTTTTCTCGTCATAACCGTAGTTATTGTTGTTGATTACTGCTGCCGTTGTTGTTGTTGTTGCTGTTGTCGACTTAGTAACGGCACTGCAGCAATTGCTGACACAGATTTTGGCAGACGACGCGGCGTCGCTTCACATTGCTTTTAATTGCACTCATAAAGATCACAGACAACAACATTAACTGCCCATATATCACATGGCATAGATATCTATATAATATATTATTAATAAAGAGTCTCTGCTCTTACAGCATCCTATGCTAATTAAGTCACTGGGGTCACGATTTCCAACTATGCAAAAGAAAGAGAGAGAGAGAGAAAAGGTATGGGAACAAAGAAAGATAAATATTTGTAAGGAAATTTATATTTGCCAATTGATCGAATGAGCGGGATTTGCATAATGAACTGACCTATGCCTGGTGCCAATACCGATGCTTAGCTCGGTAGCCAAACTAAATAGATTTATGAACACATGAGACAGACAGACAGACGGACCGACAGAGAAACAGATTATAAGCCCAGACTGAGGCGGAGGCTGGGGCGGAGGCTGGGGCTGAGCTCAGACAATGAGCCAACTGTCAAGACGCATAAATAAAGCAAAAGCTGCCAAGAGTTGGGGTTTTGTTTTTGGCCAAAGCCAAAGAAACTGGCGCATAACCAAAAAGAAAGATGCTAACAATGGGTGAAAGTTAACACCAGACAGCAGCAGCAACAACAACAACAACAACAACAACAGCACTATACACACTCATATGGCTAGCACACACGCACAGCGCTAACAAAATTGTTTACAAGCTAATAAATTTGCTTGCCAACAACTACAACAACAACAACAACAACAGCAACAATGAAGATTCGCAGCAAATCATTATGTAATTTCTAGTCAGAAACAACTAACTAGTTAGTTAGGTTAGGCATTTAGTGAGCGGGAGGGAGTCAAAGCAACAGCTAACGAATCGATTGTGTAATGCAAGTCGAAGTTAACTTATGGCCAAAAACACAGAAAGAGTTAACAGTTAAAGCCTGGCCAAATTATACAGCGGTAGCTGCTCCACAGCCTCACAGCTTTGCGAGCCTTAACAGCTAGTGGCATGTGGCAGCTGGCAAATTGTTGCTATGCAGTGAAATCTAGACAGCAACTGTTGCTGCTGCTGCCGTTGCTGCTGCTGCAATTGCTGCTGCAATTGCCAATTGGCAAAGTGCAAACTGCATTAGTTAGCATATCAACAGCGTAAACTGATGACAAATGCCCGACATCTTGTTTCTCATGTCGCCTTTTGCCGAGCAACAATTAGCAGCAACAACAACGGCAACTGTTGCCGCTGTCACAGTTATGCCGATTAGCTGTGCAACGCCCCGCCGCGATTGCTGCTGCGTCATCCAGCTGCATGTTAATAACTCGCATTTGGCCCAAAACAATCATGCACTTGATGATGCTGCTGCTGCTGCTGCTGCTGTTGTTGTTGCTGCTGTTGTTGCTGATGAGCAGTTATGATATGTGCTACATGATCTGCCATTGTTTGCCATGCGAACGGCTTTTTGCTTTGTGCCACCAACTGAAAGTCAACGGCGGTGAGAACCCAAAGACCCAGAACGACACACACACACAAAAACACAACAGCAACAACAACAACACCAACAACAGTTGTTGTAGTTAGCCAAATGTCTGTCACAGTCAATTATATGCAGGTGAATGGCTAGGCCAACAAAACTAGAAAGGCATCCCATGCAAAAACTTCATTTTGCAAGAGCGTCAGAAATTAGACGCTTCAAAAAGCTATATTTGAAGCGAGTCTTTGAGCAATGGCTGTTTGCTCAAGCTAATGCTGGAAGTCACAGGTGAGCCCTAAGATAATACCTCACCTCACCTTAATATACCTTTCAATTATGAATGCATTCGCACGCATGCCAAGTCTAACATGCACTTTAACTTGCATATTAGCGGAAGCTATGAAATGCTTACGGTCTACGAT